ACAATTGGATAGTATCATCTGTCCTACAGAATACGTGTAGCCCATGGTCTATTTTTATTATTATTATTGCTCCCTTGTGTTCCTAGTCGAACATAGGGCTTCAACTGCAGGTCTCCATTTGCTTCTGTCTTTTGCAGTACTTTTCACCTGCATCCATGTTAGTCCATACTGTTTCAACTCCTTTTCACACGATCTCCTCCATGTCACCCTAGCACCGACGTCCCACTCGCCGCTTCCCTTTCGGCCCTGTTCCACTCGAGCAATGGCCTGACGCGCGATGTCACCAACCGGCCTCCTCAGCCACGAGTGTCCAATCCATCTCCACTTTCTCCTGCATATTTGTTGGCCGGCGATTGGTTCCTGTTTTGTTTGCTCCCATAGCTTCTTGTTGGTGATTCTTTCCGGTCCGGCCATCTGATCTTCAGTATAGAGTCAGCGAAGACAGTTGTTAGTTGATAAATGTCTGCAACAGGCTGTTGGAAATATTCTTTGTGACCCGCATTCGCCGAGTCTCTGATCCGTATAGAAGAACTGACTGACTTGACGTTTGTATTGAAAATCCGAATTTTGTTGTTGATGCTGAGTGACGAAGATTTCCAGATTGGTTTCAGGTTGATGAATGTGTTTCTCGCCTTCCCGATTCTCGCTCGATTTGACACCCTCGTCCGTTCCGACTTCCTGTAGTTGAGACAATGCTCCATCCCTAGATAAGTGAATGAAGTAACTAAACTCTTTCAAATCCCTCCCGTTGATGGTGATTGACGCTGAATGTTGCTGTCGCTGTTGTTGGTTGGTTATTCTCATCATCTCCGTCTTGTCAATGTTCACTTGGAGTCCTGTCTTCTCTGGCTGCTTCTTCGACCAGTTTGTCGGTCGGTTTTCGCTTGTAAGTCTTCGATTGTGTGTGACATCAAACATAAATCATCCACGCGCGAAATCCAGGTCTTCTAGGTTCTCCAGGTCGGTCCAGGATACCCTTGTCTGCTCGTTTCTCAATGTCTGACGCATAATCCAGTCAGTCCACCACAATTAGGAATATCATTGGTGATAGTAAGCACCCTTGTCTGACTCCTGTGTTTACTCCAAACGGCTCGCTGAGTCTTCCGTTGTGGATCACTTGGCAGGTGCCGTGGTCTGGTACACTACAAAATCTCTTCCAGATAACTGAGTCCAATAAAAAAACATAACCTCGAGCAAACCAAAAATCCATAGAAATGGAAGGAAATAACCACGGCACATTTAAATGACATCAAAAATTTCAGTTTATTCCCGCATAATCCATAAGATGGGAAAATATCAATACAACGACAATTGTACATTTTATTTCTAAATTCACAATCCTAAAATTGCAATGAATATTGGTGAATATATTGGTGGGAACTGGATTACAAAGGAAGGGAGAAGACAGTGAAGTGTAAAAACTATGCATTTTGAAAATAAAAGAAAGCATAGTACACACACACACACTTGTTAATTTGACTTCAATCACAAATTTTCCATTCAGCTAAACAACAGACAATCAGTGGCATAAAAAGCATTCATTTAGCACCTTAATAATATCGAGGAGTTTCAAGTGATCAGAGGAAAGTGGGTATTAAGCAGCCATATACAACTTGGTGCAATGGAACATCTACTGAGTGAGTTATACCATCATCAAAAGAAAATGGATGATTATAAATAAATTTTTAGAAGAAAATAAACACATAATATGAATACACAAGTCAAGAAGTACTACAAAACAGGATGGTAGCACACGATTTGAACTAATATCCTTAAAACTGATAACACGCTGTATCCTGCTGAATTGGACATGATACGACCAAACAACCCCAACTAAAGTTTACGTTTGACTACATGACTTAGACTCTCAGTTACGGGATAAATCAAACATTCAAAGGTATTCCATATGTGGCACAGCGGTTAGGACTCTCGCCGACCATGCACATGGTCCGGGGTTCGAGCCCACGCCGACGCACACCTGATATCTATGGTCAGCCTGCGAAATTCGGACTATCGATATCCACGCTGAAAATTTCATACTTGTACCAAAAATACGGTGTGGAATTAAGCTGTAATCAAAAATAAAATTTTAAAAAAAAGTGATGTTGCAATCATCTGCGTTAGCGTATTTATTACAAATCATTCGATATGCATTCACCAGTTTTTTTTGTAATAAGTCGTTAACAGAAGCCACACACACACAAACACTCTGAATACCTTCGATATAATGTCAACAAAACTCAGAATTCGAAGAAATACTACTCGTTTGACAAAAATAGTTTGTACCTACGAACCTAAATGAAAATGAATTTACACCACATTAACAAGAAAAACAAAATGACTCTAAATTTTTAGCAGTATAAATCAAACTATATGATGTGAACCTAAGAATTTTTTTACCGTCACGTTCCCCAGTGGAACATAGGGCTTCAATCTAGTGGCCTGAAGTTTCTGTAGCAGTGTTTATTTTACAGGATGGGGTTGCTAGCCTCATGCCCAACCTTTCCTCTTTACCAGCAATATTTCTGGCTCAGCGAGGTAAAGGAGTGCGTCGGCCGGGGATCGAACCGCGGAGCATGTGCATGGTCGGCGAGCGTTCTAACCGCTATACCACCGATGTGAACCTAAGAATTAAAGAGTGCTAACTTTTGTACTGGAGGGGTAACAAACCTCAAAAACGGAGTGACTACTTAAAGCAGATAAGAAAGAAACAGAACAACTCATAATAAGAATTTTTATGTGTAGTAATCTTAGTGACAATCATATGTGAATTACTTTCCAACTAATAAATAGTTCATACTTATGAAATCTAGGACATATCTATGATAAACGAGTAAATCCATGCACTGTGAGAGGTTATACACAAACCTAGACAATAGGAGAATCGATTTTTCATCCAAAATCTCTGTTATGACTGCGTAACAGTAAATGATTTCAAAAAGCCAATGTTTTCACCAATATTCAATATGGAGTTTAGACATTCGCAAACTGATTCTTGGACGCTAAAATAGCTTGGAAGGATATCCGATTTTAGAAACCCTTAATAAAGCGTAATTTCACTTTCTTATTTTTAATACAGTATTTTAATACCGTATTTTTAATACTGTACACTACATTTAAACAAAAGATAGAAAAGGAAACTCATAAATGTTTATTTCTCAAAAACACATCAATTGCTTGGCAATTTACACTTCTAAACAATATAGTCGTCGCTTCTGAGAATTTTAATAGATGGATCATTTTTAGGAATGATTGATAAAGCTTTCATAATTCACAAGCAGTGACTAGATACGATACTACACCACTTTATTAAGGTAAAAAATCCATCAGAAGGGAGATTTCAAGCAGTACACTTATGTTGCAAAAATCCCATTGCTAAATACCTTTTAATAAACTTGGGAAAACTAATGCTACTTAAGTAGGTATCTGATAACTTGTATCGTTAGTATGCAGTCAACTAAAATCCTCTGATTACAAATGAAACACCATATGTGAATACTGCAGTAACCACCAACCAAGCTAAAAGACAGAGTTAAGTGCCATGGTTTAACGACAATAATATAAACATATAACTATGTGTATAAACATTTCCTCATAGTTCCACAAAAGGTAGAAAACCCAAGATGACATAACTGTAGTCACTATTATTTGAACACGACTTTTATAAATTCACTGTTTTAAAAAGGCTGTTTAGAACATTTCTTATGACAAGTAATAACAATTCTTACAGCATTTTGTTGATGAAGTAATGAAATTCCTTATTTGAACTGATATACCGAAAGCTCAATATTTGATGCATGACCTTTATACGTTAGGAATAATGTTACAAAATAATAAGTATAAAAATGAATGGACTTTTCATGTACTCATCATACTAGCTAAATAGTTAACGAAACTACAATACGGCAATCGGTCTCCTTCACTAGTTACACGACAATAGGAGCACACACAACGCAAACTGAATAGATGGTTAAGTATAAATTATATGCGCAGCTTTGAATGGACAGGATACCTGATTTCTAGATAAAATATCATGATCAGTTGCATAAAAATGTCTTTCAACTGTTTTAGTTATACATCAATAAATTCTGGTGTCCACCACCTCTTTTGAAATTTTAAAATGTTGAAAAACAATGAAGTATTATCACAATGTGTTATAAGTCCCAAATAACACTTTATTTCTATTTGCCTCTAAATGCCCTACCCTACAAGTTCTATATATAACTTTATTATGACGAAAGGAGGAAGTTTAAGTTATCACAATTTGAAATTATCGTACTCCGTAAAGAATATCAGTATTTATGGTCATTAGAAAGGTGAAAAAATGATTTTATTATTATTAAAAGATGCCACTTACGCCACAGAAGGCAAACGGAAACCTTACATAAACGTGCTTTTTATTTCTTTAATTTTCACGATCAGTCTCTTTGCGCTTCTGTCGCAACTAAACAAAGCCGAGCGCAACCCATTCACTGAAAACTAATAGAGAATAAGACATAACTATACCCACATCTGAAGAAATTTTGATTTACCTACCACCAACAGTACAAAAACTTGAAGCTTATATAAACGAGTACTGCAGATGACCATAACCATGGTTTCATGACGAAAATGAATAAGCACTCAGTGAATGCAAACTCAAGGTTACTTAATTCCAAGTAAGGTAGTCAGGGGATTTTTAGCAGTATATTGCTCATTACCACCATTTATTATATTAACAAAATGAATATATGACGCAAAAGTCATTACGTAGGTATCAAACAATAAATCTCAGAATACAAGATAAGAAACGGAAAATGGAAAGGGAAAATTCAAACCTCATCAACTAACTACAAATCACACAACATGAAGTTGTTAAGAGTAACGAACTCTTTAAAACAGGAGTGATATCAAGAAAATCCTTCTTGAAAACTTGCTGGAAAACATTTGAATCAGAAAGAATAAATTTCGCAATAATAAATAATGTTAGAGGAAGAGTAATAAGCTTTACTGTTTCTTACTTGTGACAATACGATCAACTGTCGGTAGCTTTGGCTCCGATCGCATCATTAGTATGAGTTAAAATATTTGTGAAATTCCGTTGAAAATGAAGAGAAGCAATCAGTCACAGAACAGATATAATGAGCGATAAGTGCGCCAAGTTTCGTAATGATCGCGAAAACTGAAATGGCCTTTAAAGTTATCCTTTAAAACAATTTCTAAAAAGTCCACTATCCAATATCTTTATGAAGAGCCTTAATAAAGATGCTCATTTCTTAGTAAAATCTTTCCAGTGTCTTGGAATGGTTATAGTTCTTCAGGGTGTTCCAGTGCAGAAGATTTATCCCCACGGTTGGTATAGCTGAGAATCAAGGATTGGATTGTTATGTACTGTTTATACCATCAGTCATTTTTCTCCCGACAGCTCTCTAAGGTAATAAAGAAAAATCTGGGAGGTGGTATTTCAAGGGTAGAATGGAAATTAAAAGGAGCTGACATAATCGAAAATATATATGCAAGATAGATGAGATAAAAAATGGAAAACAGGGCGTAAAAAAACATTAGTAGGAAATAAGACACATTTTCAAAATATAAAGGAGTCTATATTATCAGTACCATCTCTTAGAACTAGACTGTCTCCCAGACGGATGTCCACAGATTGTTCCCTCTAGTTTACTCATCTAGCCTCCTTTTGAAACCATCCGTAACAGTCTTGTCAAATGACAATGAGTCCTCCAAATGGCAGAATCTAAGAAGTTGAATGATGCGCACGGTATTTCCGCCTAGCGGGCAATGCAATTCGAGTGACCTTTGACAGCACCTAAGTTCTCTTCTGACTGTGCACCTCTATTTGGAAAGTTTGGATTGTGCAGTGTTTTGAGGGCCAATTATTAGTCCATCCTTCGTTCTGCGATACTAGAGAACATTTACTCATTTTTCGGAGATGAACGTTATTGGACTGGTACTTAAGTTTTAAGTGAACTTCTTCAGATTGGAGATTTGCATCTCTCTTCCAGCGCGGTAGTACGTTTGTTTTGTGAAGCTCGAGGTATGAGTATTCATATGTTTCGTACACTGGCTTGAACGACACGGGTGTCATTGAGAACTGCAGAGACAACCGTAGTAGTGTCAGCTGTAGCTATGTAGATGGTGATTTCGTCCAACTTTTTGTCACGAGTAGTTCGAGCCTTATTTACATGTACTCTTAATGAAGGTTTCCATTCTGGAGGCATTTGGTCTTCAACTCCTGCTTAGGAAACATTTAGAGAAGAGCTTTCGGAACACGGAGTTAAGTCCATCGTGGGGCCTAGGCATTATACATAAGCTGAATTATTATGATCTCAGCAAACTGTCCAACCATTCTTATCCACAGGAAAGTTTGCCGTACTAGATGCCGATAAAGAACATGTTTCTTTAAACTGTTTTCCTTTACATGATTGGCTAGCAAGGTATTCATTACCTCTTACATCCTTGACAGTAGCGCCAGTGGCATTTGCTCTTTAGAAATAGGAAATAGGATAGGACTCTCCTACTGCTTCTCAGGCAGTTCGACTTCCAAAGAGTGGCGAAACAATCTACCGAGTGAAAAACTGGGCATTACTGCACTCTAGAGATCTGGCGGTCAAACGCAGTCAAATTCAGAGGATTATTCTCAACAGATTCTCCAGAATTACAGTAAAATGCCTGATACGACATATATCGTTCCTTCCTTTCTCATTCAAGTGTCAGTTCTTCGCACCGCAGCGAGCATTGGTTATTTCTAAATTTCTAGGACGTTCTCCAAAAAACTCCAATAATACACTCGGTGAGTGGTGTATGTTCTCTGATTCACGAATCATTGAAGCGACTTGGGGTTGGCTAGGTTTGTCTGAATGTCCTCATGTCTCCTCGAACTGAAATGATTTCTTAGGGCCAAGTATATGGTACAGTCTGGCTGGTGCTTGAGAGATTCCTTTCTCCAAAGTTTTCGCTTGGTCATATAAAACTTTCCATTCAACATCTATTTAGTTGCATTAATATCATTATAGGAACGCAACTACTGATTGCGTGTATGATAATACTCTTCATGCTTATCAGCCGTTGACGAGTGGTACCCTTGTGGGGTGTGCTGGTAACAAAATTTTTTGATGGCATATAGAGGCGGGTTGGTGGCAGGTAGCTAAATTTACAAACAACATTTTAATTAAACGGCTACAGAAGTTGAAGCGTTTATTCCTCAAATCTGAATTTAACTTAATTTTCGGTCAGAAAACAGCCTCATGGAAAACTTTGCGTCTGAAAGTTTAACCACAGGAAAATCGACAACCAATAAGAACAGTTTATTATCCAATAACTCAGTAGCTAAAAGGACATTATTTCGGTATATTTTTTTCTCTATAAAAAGTTTGTTACGCAGACCCTTGTCTTCTTCTGTTATACTCATTTATGCAGAACGCTCGCAGCTGAACTTTCCTATTTGTGTAAAACTGACAATGCCAGGTCGAAAACCGTTGCTGCTCTCTCCATATTGCATACTGTAGGTTGTGTTTTTGTATTCCTAATAGGCAGATGGTCGCTTGCGAAGAAGGTAACCAAGCAAGATATATTCGCTTCCCGCCTCTAAACTTGTCGTTCTCATTAGTTGCGCTAACACCAACAGTCGTGAAAGTTTAGAAAACCGCTATCCGTCTGAGGCTCTATTATATATGCAGATTTGCCCACAATACTGGGTGATAGTATACCGCAGTTAACATGTGGAATGTTTCCAGCAATTATTGCCCTACCTGGTATGTCGATACATTCACCTTACCAAGACACCCAATGTTGTTTAAAGTCGCTCAATATGTAGAACCTATGGGACTCAAGCAGGCCAGATAATAACATTTCTTGAACGAATTAGGCTTAATTTTCTTGTCGGACTCAACCAGAAATAATGTTCATGATATATGTGTTCACATGATTTTCCAACTCTTTATCTTGTACCATCTAACCTGGGGCTGAGAGTTTCTTCAAACTGTTCCACATAGTATAAGTACAAAATGATAACTATGGATTTTCAAGAGGGAATTTGCAAACCACAGTGCACAGAGGAGAAAGAGAAACACAGTCACAGCACATCACAGTATCTATTATGAGCTCCCTGAAAATGAAGTTGTTCTTAGTGTGTCTCCATCAGCATAGCTGACTCATCGTTGAAAGTGGAATGTCCGATGCCTGATTGGACTTACTGCTTGTCAGTGAGCAAAGTTCAACAATGGCATCCCAAAGGACGAGTGACCTTCAGCCAACCAACCATAAAAGTAAGTGACTTTTGCATAAAACATGATTTACATTTGCGAGAAAATATATGAAAACACGTTAAACAGGTTATCTTTCTCTGGTATGACTCAAAAATACGTCCCAGTAATAATGAGGAGTATCAGTTGCTAAGTTAAACTAGTTTCTGTACGTGAATTCACCGAGGTGACTGAAGATGAGCTGTTCTGTGAATCGTTTATATCTCTTATCCAGTTGTGCGGTCTTCTTTCAAAGCTCTCGGTTGAATTAATATGGTTTTGGTAAGAGGATTGACGACTGCTCACCAGGAAGATACGGATAATAACACAAATTAAAATGAATGGCATCAAATCTAAGTCTATCCCTGGGTGTAAGCCAACGTTAATCCTGACCCTCACCCACACCCCTACACTAGCCCTAATTACACGTTTATCCTGTCCATAAACCCAACCCAATGCTAATAATAACCCTAATCCTAAACACAATACTTACCTTAACCTTGATCACAACTATAATTAGCTATTTAATGTTTAATGTCGACAAATGTGGCTGGCTCTGCATAGGTTGCAACAATTTAGAACTTGACCTGACAATTCAAGGCCATGCACTCTTACGACTGGAATCTGTATTGGACCTAGGACTGAAATAATCACATTACTTCTCATTTTCTGAACATATCTCCAAACAAGTGTCAAAGCCACGCAGACTTATCGGCTTTCTACTCAGGAACTTTTACAGAAATGAGTCCAGAATTCTGTTGCACAAGGTTTGTGTGCGTCCTTTATTTGATTACTGTTCATTCATGTGAAGTAGTATATGCATAGAGGACAAATTGAAAGTCGAGGGAGTGCAGAGGTACTTCACGTCAAAATTACTCGGAACCGAAAATGGTGCGAACTACTCCACTAGATGAGACACCCTAGGATTAGAAACACTATGGCTAAGACGCCTGAGACTAAACTTAACACTTTACTATAAGCTTCTAAACCACTTAGTTTTTACTTCTACTAATGGCACTCGACTTTCAGATGACATTGGCTACAAACTAAGACACACTAAGGGTACAGTAGCTATCAAATAATGTAAAACAACCATCAGGCAAAAGTTTTACTTGATTAGGTATGCACAGATATGGAATAAACTACTAATGGAAATGCGTCAAACAAGTACATTGGCCTCCTTCAAAGAAGTGCTTAACGATAAACTACAAGAGTTTTCAAACGATAGTAGTTATAGTTCCTATCTAAGAGCCCCCGAAATTATAGGTCCATTTAATGTACAAGCTTAAATACTACACCTGTTGTTTTTTGCCTATATTTGTAATTTTAGATAAAACATTAACGATTAAGATACTTACCCTCAAACAGACAAGAAGTTTCGTTTGTAAAACTTCTACCCAACACAATAAGTGGAATAAAATGGACATAAACCGACAACGTGAAAAAGGTATAACTCACCACAACATCACATGGACAGATGTACGCTCGTCGGTCACCACATATACCTCACCAACTACAACCCAACTTTCCTAAGAGAATGTGATGAACTTATGTTCATAATGTTGCTGAGCAGTCAATGTCCACAACTCCTGTCTGAACAGCTGAAATTCGTAAACCTTCCTCACGCGAAGAAAATACCCACAAGCAGTAGAAATCCATTAATTAATGCGTCTAAAGCTCATATATTTTACTCCCAACAATGACATTGCAGATCAAATGAGATAAACATATCACTGATTTCAAAATAACACATCAATGAACTATAATTCAAGGACTCTGCACACAACAAAGTTATGTATGAAAATTGACTTCAAGCTTTATTTTTTCCCATGCACTTATAACCCATCCACCAAATACCTGTGTCGATGTAGTTAAAGATTGAACGATCAATTAATGGTTGTTTGCTTAAACCCAACTTCCCTATTTTTTCGCAAGGACATCGATACACCAGTCATCGTCTCATCGGTCGCTGTTCAGAAAGAAGTCAGACCAAAACTGTCAGAAACCTTAGTTAAAACTTAATTTTAAAGTTGGCTATATATTGGTGTTACAATAAAGAATTCTCGAGTAGCCAATCGGTGTTTTGGTTTTGCGTCCGTTATTACTAAGCGTTTCTGAGAAACTTCAAGGAACAGCGTGAGTCCCAGTGTAGCAAGAGCTGGGCATTGACGGTTTACGAGACGTGGCTGACAACCTGGTTTTTTGTTAATGCGAAGACAATACTTCTGTATTTCCTGATGTGTTGCACTCACTAACAATCTAGCAGATTTTTCCAACTATGCACTGAAATGATTGTACATAAGCAAAAAGGATGTTTTATACTATTGGGATTAACATTTATCAAGTGTATGTATGATCTCCAGCGCACATGTAAAACATATTTTGCTATCGACTGTAAATTGTGACTGAATAATACGGTTCTATATCTGCAACAATCTGATGATGCCTGCAAACTGGCGTCCCTCATGTACTGTATCATGAGAATAAATCTACTTATTTATTTATTTATTAACACATTGCCCAAAACAGGACTGTTTGATATTGTTCCCTGGAGGCTGTAGTATCCTTATTTTACAAGAATGTTACCCTTTGTCTAGATACTGTTGCTCCAAAGAAAATAGTGAAATTAAGTAGACACCAAGCTGAATATATTCCAGGGGCATACCGCAATAAGTTAAGGAAGTTGAAGGAACAGTACTATTCCACTAAGGACATATCAATATTGCTCTCAATCCACGAGTCTCTTGAATCTATCAAGCGCCTATGCTCTAAAAAGGACCTCAACGAAGAGTTAACGGCACTTGAATGTACCTCCAAAGTTTATGACCTAATAACACTGCTTAAAAAACGAATGGAGTCGACGAGGGACACCCCCTACTTACTTCACGACAAAGTAATCTACAATGAACCCGCCACTATCTGTGAACTCTTCAGTGATTGGTTTGCAAACTTTAGTTTAGAAACACATATGCCTGGTGAAACCGTTCCCCTTACTATCTCTTCCCTTGAAAGCATTGTGTTCACTAATCAGTTAATAGTACAAGCAATTAAAAGCCTTAAACCTTCCACTAGTACGGGACCGGATGGCCTAGCTTCGATAATTTTCAAAAACAGTGGGTGTGATATACCCTTGTTACTTCTTAAATTCTTCTCAATATCTATGGACACTGGCACTTACCCTAGTGAGTGGAAAACTAGCTTCACAATTCCACACTACAAATCTGGTGGTAAGGCAAGACCCAT